ATTGGTTTTTTTTTTTTTTTTTTTTTTTTGCTTGTAAATCGCATTCTAACCATAAGTGCCATATTGTAACTTTGATTTTCATTTAATCTACTGAGAAGTTTTGTCGGATAAAAAGTCATGTTGAGTTTTATATATATTATAACAATTTTTTTTGCACAGCTTGTGGTACTTTGCAATCATGTTTTCTTTGAGTAAACGTCATGGGTTGGTTTCATTCTGTAGTGAAAAAAAAATTAAGCCGTCACATGGCGAAAAAGTCACAGTGTATTTTGCTTTGAATCAGGAATATTTTAATTATTAACTGTGCGCTGTTTGGCTTACAGTGAGTTAGATTTAGCAAACCCGTATATACAATCATTGTATTGCAGGTCAAGCGTAATAAACTTTACGGAGTTTGAGGTTTTGCTTCGCCATCAAAAACTTACCAATGCGCATGACTTTGATGTAAGAGTCAAGATTGCTGAATGTGATGGACCCATAGATACAGCTCGGCAACCTGTAAGTTTACATGTACTGTTCAATTTATAATCATTAGTGAACTACGCTTAGCTAGTTAACTTACCGAAGTCGACTATAATGTAGCCAACTACGAGTGTTTCACAAAGAATATAAAATTCAAAGAATATAAAATTCAATCTGTTAAACTGATTGCAATCAGCAAGAGTCCCCGTGGAATTAATGCGCATTAACTGCTTCGACATAACTCATTCTGAAATTTTCCAAACACTTAGAGTAGTCTTTACATGTAATATGATATCGATTGAGGGGTGCTCCCTTGGGCAGAGGTTATATCTTCAATATACCAGTGTCTTGTACCCATATCATACGCCAATCAAAATGAATCCAGTTTGTGCCATGTTGAGATTGTGGACGCCATTTAAGTGACCCCCTTACTCCAGCTAAAGTTGCCAGTCTCCCTCCGTGTTTCAGATACATAAGAGGCCATTCAGAACAGAAGATCGGAGGATCTACTGATTCACGGGTCAAATATGGCGGACCCTACCAATCCGCCGATGGCCTCCCCGCCTCCACACGCGACGTCCTTGCATGGGTCTAGCAATTAAACTTCAGAGCTGTGATTTAATCCTTTTAATGGCGCGTGTGGAGCCTGGGAGACCAGCGGATTAGTCGGCCCTTCTTTCATGTAGGATCCGCTATATTTGATCCGTGGATCAGTAGATTCTCTGATCTTCTGTTCTGAATGTGTGAAAATAGCCTTCACCCATAATTGACCAAACGTGAACAATTGACCATGGTCCTTGTACATCACTTCTGAATAAAACAGATTATTGAGCTTTCAGCATTAGTTATTTTTGTTTAATGGGTACAAGAGTTCTATAAAATGTTCTTTTTTTTTTACTATTCTGATGGAAATATATCTGCATAGTATTGTCACTCCGAGTGTTGTTATTTGATTGGATAAACACTAAAATGTTGAGAAAAAGGATTTCCAAATTGTTGTCCGTCACCACCTTTGAACTAAGCCTTACCTGCTTTTAATCTCTTCACTACCTCTTTCAACCTTTTAATATTAATCTTTAATTTTTTTAAATTTTTTCATGCCCTGAACACTTTTCTATTACAATGTAGCTCAAGTGGGTTTTGAAACTGCTCACTTGGAAGCAATATTTTGTATGCCATGTAACTTTGTACGTAACTCAGAAATTATCTGGTTTCAGGGCGCGTATATCTCTGAGAACACTGGCTCTCACAAGGAAAGATTTGATGAGTCCGGCAATGGCGGGGGACGTGAAGATGCTGTTGAAGACAGTGGATATGTTGGACGTTACCAGGGCGCTGGAAGATATAACCCCAAGCACTGAATTTAGAAAGTCAACTTTTCGTAGATTTTTATGCACCGTGCTTATATGTAGGCAGTCTCTTAATATGTTGTTTAGAAAAAGCGGCTTTTGGTTCTGAGAAACATTTTAATAGCCAAGTTTAATCTCAAACAATTTGTCTTTGCTTGTTGGAGTAAAAATTCTTTTTAGATATAGATTCTAAGCCTTGGTGGACTTTTTTAAACAATTTTAATTTAAGAATGTTCAGATAGTGAAACTCAACTTTTCGTAAATGTTTGTGCAGTGTGTTTATATGTAGGCAGGCTTTTTCATATGTTGTGTAGATTCTAAGCCTTGATGGATTTTAAACAGTTTAAACGTGTTCAAATAGTGAAAATGTCAATAACTCGTTTTGAAAAGTAACTAAAATATTCTCTATTTATATAATATTTATATAATAAAATATAATTTTCTCATATTACGTGTCATCACCTCAGTTGCGCGTTTACAGAAAAATTAAGTGGAAATTTACAGGATTATTTCAAACAATGTAATAAGACCGAAATAAATTGCTTCGGTTTGAAAACAAGCATGGATGGCTCTAAGTTGAAGAAATCGATAATAATAATAATAATAATTATAATAGTCATGTTATAAGATAAAAAATAAATGAAAAAGTCAGGATATATAAATTATTGAATAAGGACAAACAGGTAAAATAAAGTAAAATGAAGTAATAAGAAATGAACTGAAAAAAATGAAAATAGCATCACGCTAAGTCATTTTGAATCCCATTTCGTTTGCATTTGGAAAACCATGGATATTATGGGAAGTGTCCAATATGGGTCGCCGATCAAAATGCTTCATGTGACGTTAAAGGAACAACCCTAAAAAGGCCCTACACCAGGCTTGCGTGCAAACCGTTGTATTCCAGATGGAATTGCAAAGACAGTGTACACAATGTTTTTAAAAGTTGATTGTAATCAGGGCCAGGTTGCACCAACAGGGCGTAAATTTACTCGGCTACGACTGTCGTAAACCGCAACGCCTGGCGTCCGTGCGCCAGGTGTACTCTCCCTGCTTACGCCCGTTGCACCAAGACAAAAACTGATCGTCGTAACTACGCCCGAGTAACGCTCCGTTGCGTCACTGGCCAACAATACGTGAATGGTATAATTGGGCAAATGAGGAGTTCTCAGCTGCAGTCATAATGGAATAATGACATAAATAAACACAAAAGGAGCATTTCAGTGACGGAGAAATTCATAAGCTATATTATTCCATTTTGATTTAGAAATAAGAACGTTGAAATACATTAACTTTTCTGTTGCCTTGGATATATAGAAATAAAATCGTAAATATATTCCGAATCAAAATATTATTATAGTTTGCTATTATAGTATGCTGTTGTAAATGTCATTTAAAATGAGAAAAAACGCGTCGCAGGCAGTACGTATTTCTATTAATTAATGGATTTGAATACCTTCCCATTTGTTATTGAAACTTTTGAGTCTGAAAATAATGCAAAAACGCCAACATTGCTTTCTTTTTATAATTTTACAACAGTGCCGACAATTTCATGACCTTCTTATCTATGGTTACACCGTGAGGTATCATATAATTCAATCGAGCTTACGTGGAGCTTACTGGAGATTAAGAAATACAAGAGACCTAATACATATTATATAAGCCTTAAAATGTTGATATTTTAAGCTTTCGTCTCTATGTTTATATATAGTAAAATATGAATGATATAAAATGTAAAGAAAAAATGTCTATGGTTAGTTATGGTTTGTCAAAAATTGTGAAAAGAATTAAAGAAACCGTACTGCTGAGAGCCAAGACGCACCTACATAAGTGGTAAGATTTCATTTGAACATATGCATATACATGTACATGGCTACACATATAATGTATTAAGTAATCACTTATAATTATATATATACATAATTAGTTTTTTAAAAACCAAGCTATACAGGCGGAAGTTTTGTGTAAGAAACAAACAAATAACAACCCACATTTTCTACGTTAACTACGATAATTGTCATCAAACTCTCTCTGGGCTAGCCTAGCCATGGTGGAAAACGAGCTTCGACCGACTTGCACCACCTAGCTGGCAGGCGTAAATTTATGACTAAGTTAACACCGACGTAAACACTATTCTAGTTTGGTGCAACTGGCTTTACTCGGGCGTAGCGTTTTGCACCCGGTTTACGCCGGCGCAACTGCTACGCCCCACTTACGACCGGTTGGTGCAACCGGCCCTGATCCACGGATCAAATATGGCGGACCCTACATAAAAGAAGGGCTGACTTACCCGCTAGTTCCCTGCAAAGACGGCGCGTGCGAAGGCGGGGAGGCCATCAGCGGATTTGTCAGCTCTTCTTTCATCTAGGGTTCGCCATATTTGATCCGCCAATCAGTAGATCCGAGGATCACATGTTGCGAATGCCCTCTTAGACGACGTAAGATAACATAAAAAGATTCACTTGGGTGATAACGACGTTCCACTACTAATTAACGTAGTTGGACGGAAGATGATAAGATAACAGGTCTTTTTGTCGCGGACTGCGACCGCATGTTACCTCCAAGCTTAAATTTATAAATATAATAGGCACGAGTCCGCTCTCCTACGTGAGATAACAATGACGATCAGCCACAGCCACACTCATTTATGAGATAACAATTGGTTTAAATGCCGATGACCAGTGTCTGATCCACTGAATGAACCACACAGAGTAGTAGCGAACCGGGAGGAATCACTGCGTCGTGAGACACCAGCAACGAGAGACCTGTACTTTCTAGCCTCCATATGTGATTATTCCTCTCTAAAAGTCAAAGCTGACCATAAAGTAAGTTGTGCACATTCCTGATCAGGGTGTAACGAACGTCTCTGTGTGTATGACTGTCACTCAGACTGTAGCTAACACAAGAATAACTCTAACCTTTGCCACTGGGGTTCACTTTACTTGGCGGCAAGACAAACTGAATCCTTTTCTTGTTCTTTGAACAGGTTTTGGTGCGAGTAATTTTATATACATACCTTTGTCTGCTGTCATTTTTGCTTGGGTTGAGGAGGAGGGGCAAAAGTTTATTTAACTCTAAGATTCCGGTCCCAGGATGGTTTTATCACCCATATATAAATACCCTTCTAGGTCCATTTTGATACTATGTAGTGATACTTTTTGGTACATAGATTTAAAATGGTTCTTTCATTTCAACTTGATTATACATGTAAAGAACTCTTACTTATTCTTGGGGTAGCGTAAGGGAGGCCCTTGCTTCAGCCCGGACTATATATGCTTTGAAGCATACTGCCATTATCCATTTTTCAAGATTTTTACAAAATTATTCTCTAATCCTCCATATTTGGACACTTTTGGGTACGGTTTCTTTAATATTTATTCACGTCAAAGTTTTCGAATTTTTTTCCTGAAAAAAAGGTTTTGGGGTTATTTAAAACAATCCAAACCAGGATTTTGAACGCATTCTAAGCACATGAATTGCTTCTTGTTAAAAATGAAAACCTTCAAAATGTGTTTTGACAGACAAATGGCCTTAAATCATTGTCGTGGAATAATAATTATAATGGTCGCCGCCCTTTGCTCCTTTGGAATTAACGCGGGTCAAGGCATGAAACTTAACTTCAAATTACAGACCTGTAGACGTAGTTAAACTTAATTTGAAGTTTCCTGACAACACTGCGATCTGATCTTTAGACGGGATCACTTAATTAACCAAAGCCATCTAATATGCAAATTTAATTAAGAAATTGTACCATGTGATGCACGCAACAAACGATGAATATCTTCTGCCTCTTGGTATGTCATTTTAAATTTTACATTAGATGCAGCTCTGCGACTGCACTATAATCAGGAGACTTGGAAGCTATACGTATTACATATTTGGCCTAAATACTACTATTACTCTGGACATGCCAGTCTACTGTAAGTACAATGTATATTTACTGACATAACTGAACCCCATCTTTTCATAAGTTTTCTCCAGAACACTTGACCAGATGATTAATAATCATTGAGGCTTGAAAACATTTATGTAGCTGTATGCGCCAGTGCTTGCAAAGTAAATAGTAGTTTGAAATTGATATGCTTTAATGAACACAGTGAAATCGCAAAATCGCGGCCTTTATCTATCGTCTCTTCACAAGCAGTCTGTTTGTACTCGTAGCTGCCAAATGTAGCTGCCAAATATTCAAGATTGCTCAGTGCATTTCTTCTTTTGTTCTGCCAGACGCCATGTAATGCTTAACCCTCATCCACAAGGAAATGGAACCCTACGTAAACCCTGAAACCGGGCCTCGGAGGCCCGGTGTACCATGAAAATCTGACTCCCCTAAAATGTGACTCCCCAGTCAGATTTTCATAATGAAAATGTGACTCCCCCTATGAAATTTTGACTCCCCCCCCCCAAAAAAAAAAAAGTTTGCAGGTAAAACTTTTCATGAAAACAAAAAAAAAATAAAGATTTGTATTTTACCACCCAAGGAATCCCCTATGATAAAGCTATTTATATGATATTTGATTATCATTCTGACATCTTTTCTTTGAGGATACTTTATGAAGAATATATTGAAAGTATTTGAAAGTTTTATGGTAAAAAATTGGGTGAAAAAAAAAAAAAAACACATGAAAAATAAGAAAAAGTAAGGATTTGTATTTTAACACCCAATGACTCCCCTATAAAAAAGCTATTTATTTGATATTTGATGATCATTCTGACATCTTTTCTTTTAGGATACTTTATGAAGAATATATTGAAAATAATTGAAAGTTTGAATGGTAAAATACTGGGTGAAAATAATTTACGAAATTCTTCATTTTCATATGCATGGGATTTGGACTCCTATGGAC